CCCGCCGCCCGCGCCTTCGCCCGGGTCCCCTGCGCCGCCACCGCCGCAACCACGTGCGCGGTCGTTCCCGGAGCGCACGGTCCGCGCTTTCGCAGAAATTCTTGTAACTTCCCTCCGGAGTCTCTCTTTTCCCCCACCTCTACTTTTTGCATAAGGGGGGGGGAAGTTGTGTCGAAAGTGTCCACCGATCGTCACGTCCCAATTATCCTTCCTTCCCCTCCCCGCCCCACTTTTTTTTTTTTTTTTTTTTTTTTTTAAAGCGGCGGCAACCTTGTTTAGTGTTTATTTTGTTTTACGACCGATAGCGTCCTTGGCTTGTTCGCGGCGGCTGCTGATCGGCGGAGTGGCGTGGACCTCATGTAGAAATGACAACAATGGAAGGGGCCAGCGGGTCGAGTTTTGGAATAGACACGATTTTGTCCAGTGCCAGTTCGGGCAGCCCCGGCATGATGAACGGAGACTTCCGCCCGCTCGGTGAGGCCAGGACCGCGGATTTCAGGAGTCAGGCCACCCCGTCCCCCTGTTCGGAGATCGATACCGTCGGAACGGCGCCCTCCTCTCCGATCTCGGTCACCATGGAGCCCCCGGAGCCGCATCTGGTGGCAGACGGGCCTCAGCACCACCACCACCTCCACCACGGCCCGCCGCCGCCGCCCGCCGCGGCCCCGACGCAAAGTTTGCAGCCTTCGCCCCAGCAGCAGCCGCCGCCGCCGCCGCCGCAGCAGCCGCCGCCGCCGCCGCCGCCCGCCCAGCAGCTGGGCTCGGCCGCCTCGGCCCCCAGGACTTCCACCTCTTCTTTTTTAATTAAGGACATCTTGGGCGACAGCAAACCTCTGGCGGCGTGTGCGCCCTACAGCACCAGCGTCTCCTCTCCCCTGCACACCCCGAAGCAGGAGAGCCACGCGGTGCACGAGAGCTTCAGGCCAAAGCTGGAGCAGGAGGACGGCAAAACCAAGCTCGACAAGCGGGAGGATTCCCAGAGCGACATCAAATGCCACGGTGAGTCGCGCCGCCCCGGCCCGGCCGCCGTCCAGCGTCGCCTCCCGGGCTGCCTTCTCCCCTGGCGCCTCCAGCGAGCCTCGGGTGGGGAGTTTCTTCCCCGGAGCTTGCGAGGCGACCGGCCACAGCCTGCGAGCCGGAGGGGAGGCCTGGGCGCCGGACGGGGGCTCGGTCCAAGTTCGTTTATTGTTCCATTCCTGCCCCACGGCCGGCACCGCCACCCCGCTCCTTTCTTTGTTTTACTTAATTTTAATTTGTTGGGGGTGGAGGCGGCGGCGGCGGGATCTGATGGGAAATACTTTTCGTTGGTAAAAAGGACGGACTTGAGGTTTCTCTAGCCGAGACCTTGAGAGTGGGAGAGTGAAGCCGCTTAGCTAGCGTGGGTGTGATCGCAACCTGGTGTTTATTTTTTAATGCAAATGATTTCATTCACCTCCCCACCTTATTTTCTAAACACCATCACAGGAATTATCGGATTTAATGAAAGAAAAATTTTCGAGTTGATTAACAGAGCAACTTTAAAAAAAATTAGATCATGGCTGATATAGAGAAGCCAGTTAACAATTTTTAAGCAGTTTTCAAAAACGCCCTTCTTATTCCATGGCCCCAACTGAATATCTGTATCTTACTGAGATTTTTTTTTTTAGCTCTTTACAAGTAATTGGACTGTAGTATTTATAAAAATAACATTTTATGAAACCGAATTTACCTATTTTTTGTTAAATCAGAAGATGACAATTGAAATTATCCTTCAACTCCTCTTTTCCATTTTCTCCTCAGATAATTTCATAAGTAAGTATTGTGAGCTTTGCGTGGCAAGAGTTTTAACATACCAGGAGAGGTTTTTCCCCCCCCCTTCCTTTACTGATAAGCTGTTTATTATTCATCCTTGTTTCTCTGATATAGAAATGTGCCGACTGTCTGGAAGGTAGGATATTGGCACCTCATTTTACTATTATAGTATTAGCATAATAGTGTCCAAAACAGATGTACAGTCTGGTCTGGCGATTTTTTGTGCACCAACCTCCCCAGTGGGTCAATTAGAGAGATTATTGTTCTTCCTGCAGGGAAGATCAAGCAGCACTGCACAAACGGGGACACACAGAGAGGGATTGACATATTGATTTCCCAGCATTTCAGTAAAAAACCAAAGTTGACAAATAGAATCCAGAAATCTCTGCGCTGTCACCTGGATGGGCTCAGTGATTCTGAGCTCAGCTCGTTGTTGGTGTCGGAGTGACATATTCTTTGTGAAGCTTTAAAAGACCCAGTGCAGGTCGTTGCAGAGAGCTTGATTCCAACATTTCCGAAGTACATCCGAAAAAGACAAACAGATGCCTGTGACTTTCAGTAAACAGAAAAAAAGCAACTTGAAAAAGATGCCCCCTCCTTAGAAAAAGAGTAGAAGGACCTTTCGAAAAGTACCGAATCAGAGAAACTAAGTCATAGTGAAAACAATAAAGAAAAGGGACAGTGCCCCCCAGTCAAGGAAACAATAACAAAAGAACCCTTTATTGAAAAAGTGGACATACATATTTTACTTTTTAACTTCCATCCATGTGAAGATCAGAAACCCTTCAAGAACTCCTTTAGGACCTCTGAACAAGGCCCCACACTCCCTAGTCAAACAGTGGCTCTCTTCCTCCACACTGGCTAAGGCCCAAGTATGTGTGTGTGTGTGTGTGTGTGTGAGGGGGGTGGCAGAGTGTAGTCCCCCAGGACCCGTGGCTGGCTTGGGAATGCGGAAGTGTGTGCCAGGAGGACCCTTTATCCTTCCCCATTCCAAGCTAACTTAGTCTGTGGCTGGGTCTCTCTCCTAGGAACAAAGGAGGAAGGAGACCGGGAGATTACGAGTAGCCGAGAGAGTCCCCCTGTGAGAGCCAAGAAGCCTCGGAAAGCCAGGACAGCTTTCTCGGACCACCAGCTCAATCAGTTGGAGCGTAGCTTTGAACGGCAGAAGTACCTGAGCGTGCAGGATCGCATGGACCTGGCTGCTGCGCTCAACCTCACTGATACCCAAGTCAAGACCTGGTACCAGAACCGCAGGTAAGAGGGCTGGGGGGGGATGGAGCAGAGGCATCTGGCTGTTTAAGTGTGACCATCACACCAACCTTCTTTCCTCCTGACCTCAGGAGTCAGAGAGCCTGGAGTGGGTGCTTGGGCACTTTCAGGCTGAGGCAGGGGTTAGCCACACCCCCAAGGTGAGAGGGGTGAAAGGACAGCTGGAATTTGGACAATTTTGCGCTTTTAAGTGTCTTAACAGGTGCTGCTTTCCCTCTGAAACCCGAGTCAATGGAATTCCCCCCACTGCCTCCCCAAATCAATCAAGCCACACCTTCTCAAATTGAGACATCTGTGCAGCTGACACTCAGGCCCAGAGAGCCTGCAAGGTGCACCCCTTGGGCCCGCCACAGGCTGGTTCCAAATTATGTAGCCAGCAACATGGCCTGGCCATTGCTTCCGCACAGAGCTGTCCCACCAGCCTTTGGCTTCAGTGTCCTTGCTCTGGCCTGTGAGAGGAGGCTGGGAGAGGCAGAGTCCAAGCATTGGTCGGTGTAGCTGGGTTAGAGTTGGGTCGGCAGCCTCAGGCTGGAGAATCGGGCAGCTGGCCAGGCATCCGGCCATTGAGGGTAGGGGGATGGGGAAGGGGGTCTTGTCCCCTGTACTGACTAGCTCTGCTCTCTCGATACGGAGAAAGGGTGCTGCAGAGCCTGCCTGGCATCGCTGTTTCTCTAGAAGGGAAATTAGGAAAGCGAAAGTGCCTGGCAGCTCGCAGGGCCTTGATGTGCAGGGGGGAAACCTGGGCAATCAGAGGCAGGGGTTATGCTGTTTCCAAGCCTGGCGCTCATCTCCCATGTCTCAATTTTCTTTCCCCCCTTTCTCTCGTTTGTGTTCTAATCGTCCATAAGTGCGGTTGGAAATGCCCATCCAGTTGTCATCTTTACCATAATTTTCTGTCTCATTACATACGGTTTCAGCCACCCTAATTCTGTCGGAAAACATTAGTGTCATTTGTAGCCAATTTAAAATGGGCGACATGTTTATTAATTTGGCTGGAGCTGCCGGTTACGGATGGTCCACCAGCCCCGCGTTCCTTCATGAGGCATTTGAGCAAACGCCTGCTCTTTCCTTCTCCCTCCCAGGGTGTGCGGCGGGGAGGGAAGGGGGCCGAGAAAAGCTGATCACAGGTTTTAATTGTTACTTTCTCCCTGAGGAGGAAATGTCTGGAAATGCGTCTCCCTCCCCCCAGAATGGCCAGGAGGTACTATCCCCTTGGGAGAGCCCTTCCACCAAAGAATTCCGTTTTGAGACCTTGTCGCCCTCCTCCCCTCAAGCTCCCCTGCCCGCCGTAAGGTCCTGTCAGGCTGTAGAAGAGAGACGTGCCCCCATGGCCTTGGGTCTGAGAGGGGCTGGGGTCCAAGGCCTAGGAGTCTCTGGTCCCTTTGTTTATGGTTTCTTCCTCTCCCTCAGGCTGGGGGGGAAGGACCAGGGGTTGAAAGGGGACACTTTGGGATTGTGGGGGGAGAAGTGCATGGGAAGAGGATTAAGGAAGACTGACTGTGGAAAGAGGGGTCTCCTTCGGTCCCTAGAAAAAGTTTCAGGAAGTAGCCAAACTATAAAAGGGAGGCAGGAGGGCCACGGTGAAGCAGACTGCCAGGAAAAGGCAGCAAAGTTCCTAGGACTTCATTGGCGAGTGTCTCAGAGGCTGAGGGTGTAATTTGCAAAATGGACTTTGGGTGTGGGCTGTTCTGTGAGCCATGCTGAGGCAGGACATGCGGGTCTTTCCCAGTTGGAAGAGGTCTGCCAGTCGGCCACCCAAGGGGGAAAGACGGGGCAGGTGGGAGAAGGGCAGAGAAAGGGGCCGGCTCCCGGGGCCTGGCCAGTGCCGGGCCAGTGCCCACAGCTGCTGGGTGCTGCACACCCGCTTTCTTTCAGGACCAAGTGGAAGCGGCAGACCGCGGTGGGCCTGGAGCTGCTGGCCGAGGCGGGGAACTACTCGGCGCTGCAAAGGATGTTTCCGTCGCCTTATTTCTATCACCCGAGCCTGCTGGGCAGCATGGACAGTACCACGGCGGCGGCGGCTGCCGCTGCCATGTACAGCAGCATGTATCGGACTCCTCCAGCACCACATCCCCAGCTGCAGCGGCCCCTGGTGCCCCGGGTGCTCATCCACGGCCTGGGGCCCGGGGGACAGCCGGCCCTCAATCCCCTGTCCAACCCCATCCCGGGCACCCCGCATCCCCGGTGAAGGAGGAGCCCAGGCGTGGGAATCCCTCTCCCGTCCCTGCCTGACGGACGGCCGCCCCTCCTCTCCGCGCTCCGGGCGCCAGGCCTCCCTGGCGCGACCCGGGAGGCAGAGGAGTGAGAGAGGAAGACGCTCCCGGGGGGGCGGGGGACCCCAGCGGAGCCACCCTCTGCCCTCCATCTCCCACCCCCCAGACACAGGGCTGGAAAGCTCCCCACAGCAGCGTGACTGGCGAAAACGCTGACCCCACACAAAGTGCGACCAGTAAGTGAAAACATCAACAAAAACAAAACCTCAAGTTCTTTTTTCTTTTTCTTTTTTTTTCCCCAAATGACTTTAGGGACAAGCAGGAGGGGGGTGGGGGGAGGGAAGCAAGAACGGCACGGGGCGGAAACCGCACAGGCAGAGAGAACTGTAGATGGACAGCCAGCCTCCAGCCGAGGCCAGGCCCTGGCTGTGGACATTCCGTCGGCCCCAGAGAAAAGAGGAGGGTGACTGAGAACTTTGCACTGATTTCTCATGACCTTTTTTCTTTCGGAAAAGTGGCATGCTCCATAATATGAAAAAAAAAATGTACATTTGAAAGACTGAGTGATAAGTGATATATCATATTTATTATATGTTGTCCAAAACAGAGTCACTTATATACGTTAGTAAAAACATGATTTTTCTTTTTCATGTCTTTTTGATTCAGTAAAATAAACGCTTAGACAAAAATATAGATTTTTTTGTGATTGAAAATTACAAAAATAAAGTTTATCTTTTTTTAACAAGTGATGACATCCAAGGGAGCTGATTTTTACTAAAGCGGAATGTTCTATGATGAAACGCGTGACTCGGCTTGGGGGGGGGGAAAGAAAAGAATCCCTTCCGGAATATTAGGACATTACAATATCTGTGAGGACGTGGGGTTGGCTTGTATAAAAAAACAGCTCCGATTTTTCCTGCCGGCCTCTTCCGAGCGGTTATTTGAAACGTGTGCGTTCCTTCCTTCTTAAGTGGCTGGTGTCCGAGCAGCGTACGGGGCCGCGGGAGGAAGGCTGTTTGCTAGGCTGCCGGTGCTGGCCGAGGGGGCGGCCGCCGTGCCCTGCTGCCCTGGCCTGCCTGGAGGCC